TCTCACCAAGGAAGCGAGCGGCCGGGATTTGCACCCCCCTGAGACCTAATCCCCGGAACAACCTCAAAACAGACACCATTGGGAACTGCTGCTGTTTCAGTTGCAGACAGAGTGCATGAGCGTGTAGATAGACACAGACCCTCTGACACAAACATGTACTCACATACCACTCATACTATTGTTTGCACACATGCGTTGGAATACACAGCATGTGTGATGTACTGGAAAATGAGGAATAGTCATGATATTTAATTGTTTATATTCATTAGCAATGATTTAACTAATCAATATTTAAATAAACAATACAAATTCTTCTGACACTTTAAGTATACATTTGAAAGCAGCATAGATTTGTGGGTTTTTATGCACCTTAAATATATAAATACTCTCATTTTTATGGGCTCTGTGTGCAACAGACTTATGTATTTTACAGTGTGTCATACATCCTTAGCAGTAAAAGAAATAGGGTTCTGGTTGTAGGCCCCATTGATGTGTTCCTCAGATGTGTGAGGTCAGATTACTCTGACAGGCCAACTGTAAATTACATACATTAAAGACACCTACGTACGCCTTAGTGTGTGTACATATGCATGTGTGTGTGCCAGCTGGCTGTCAGTTGCGTCTTTCCGGGTTATTTTCAGTGTGTTTGGTTTTGCGTTCTGCTTTAGCTCTGTTTTCTCCTATATGGACTGTAACTCCTGTTCTGCCTTTAACTTCATTTTTTAAAGACATTTTCATGACCTTGCTTCTCACGCAAACCTGTGTGCAGCTGTTCACGATGTATCACCGATACCCCCACACCCCTGACATCAGAGCAAAAAATGCTTATATTACACATGACCGTGCACAGGCACACAAACACACACACACACACACACACACACACACACCTACTGTTAAATACACAATTCCACACGTAGGAGAGGTAGCTCTCACACACAAACACACTCTACTCCTCGTTCTCACGTACCCTTTGGCCTCTTCACCCTGGCCTCACAAGGACACGGTGATTTTAGGGCATCAAGAGAAAGCGAGAGAGGAAAAGAGACAATAACAGAAATTGCATTGCTCTGAAGAGGCCCAATAAATCTATAGACATACAAATCTGTTGAATTCTACTTAAAACTACTTAAGAACAGATCACATTATATAAATGTATAGTTTAAATAATTTTCATATATTACAATTGGCCAAAGTCAAACTAAGGCTTATTATTTAATATCTATCTATTCCATTTGTGACACAAAGCTAGGCAAAATATAAATCAATAAAATCCTTAACTCTAACAGAACCGTCTGGTTGGTGAAAGGGTTGAACTCTTTAGCCACCATCAGCTCCTCAATCAGTCAAGCAGAGTAAAAGAAAACCACATGTGTGAGGGAAGCCAGTAATAATGTTTTTCTAACAATGAACAAGGAGAGAGGCCAGAACTTTAGCCCACCTGAGTGGAGTGAAGAAAATGATTGAATTGTGTAACGTCAGATTTTGGTTAAAAAAAGATTCCATTTTGGAGTTTTTAAAACTACTGTTAACACTTTACTTTAGGGTGGGACCAGTTTACTTTGGGGCATTTTGAAAATCGTTTTGACTTTGATTTGATTTGATTCTGTTCTTTAATCATCTGATTTTCCTCCATGTGTCCCCTCAGGTAATGGGTCTATTGAATCCAGGTGGAGTGCCACATCAGTCCCAGAGTGACTTTGCCCTCTCTCCACTAACCGGAGGGCTGGAGCCTAACAGTGGCATGGCTGCCAGCTGTCATGGCTCCCAGCGCCTGGAGGCTCTACCAGGCCTGACCAGTATGCCCACCCTGCCAAGCACCCAGTCTTACTGCCCACCTTCCTACACCTCACCAGCCTACGCCATGGACCACCATCCATCCTACCAGTATGGACAGTACAGTCAAAGCAAGGTATGCTGGAAATACAAATTTTTCTTTAAGCGTTTATTTACTACTCTCTTAGACTTTCATTTCTATATTTCAATTTAAATGCTCGATAATTGATTTGTGCGGTTATGTCCTTCTATAACCCCTGCTCTGACTATTCCATTTAGTTTATATTTTCAAGTTAATTGCACAGACCCCTCTGATGAGCGAGCTTCTCAAATCACCCTGCGCTGCACTGAAATTACATGTCTGTTAGCGAGCGCTAGTGGCCAGGTTACCTCAGTTTACATTACCATCAATGGGCTATCCACGTGGCCTGATGGAGGGGCATGTCCCGGTCTTATCCCACACATTTTTTACTGGCTGTCCTTTCTTGACCCCGTATGATGAGCTTGCCCATCAACCCCTCAGTGTAGCTCACCTAGCCATGTAATGACCCTGTGTAACAAAGATAGCCGCCCAAATGAAAGGAGCAACTTCCTAAAGCATGTTTGACAGGAGGGTGGGGGGGGTAGCGCCGGGCACGGCGGTGTGTTGTTGGGGCTGATCTGAGGTACACTACCACATGTTGACTGGGCCCATCAGTGGCAACATCTTGATGTCATTAATTTAGCCAGTCCTGGGAGAGACCCACATGTAGCTTTTGGGGGTTTGGTAAAATGTGTGTGTGTGTGTGTGTGTGTGTGTGTGTGTGTGTGTGAGTGCAGACATGTATGTATGTGTGTGTGTGTGTAAAAAGAGGGTAAGGGGCTCTTTAACAGGGGGCGATTATGGCCCTTGGCAGGCCAGGATTAGAACCATGTGTCCCACTGGAGGTCAGATTTAGAGTTGTTATTGATCAGTGGAGCAGAGCCAGAGATCCAGGCTAAGGCTCAGTCTCAGGCTAGTTTTACCAACCACATTAGGTTCAAAGAATGTCAAAGGAGATTCCCAAAGCTCTTCACCTGTTTTTTGAGTTTTATTATTCAACCTAGGACCCCAGTTTCCACTCTCACCTGCTCTTATCTGCTCTTAAACACCCCCCCTCCTTCTTTCACAGTTCTTCACCTCTCATTTAACTTCCCTTTTCACATTCTTTGCTTTGTTGACCATCAGATGTTTTAAGCAGTTGAAGCTGAATAAAATGAACCTCCCATTAACCTTCTATCTTTCCCTGTTCTCTTCAGGTGCCTTTCATTATATGAAGTCCCCAACATGGCCTGAACAGGAGGCTTCCCGGCCAGTCTGACATTCATTGCCAGAGAACACCCCCCCTCCACCCCGTGCCTTTGCCAACCCTTCCCAGCCCTAAGGACAGCGAAAGAGAGTTTGGGCGGGTGAAGGGGTAGAGGTTGTTCTCCTTCAGCAAAGGGGGAACCAGTTGAGATGGAGGTGTAGTGATGGCGATGGAGGGGGTTGACTGGAATAATTAGGACCAAAAGGCAAAGCCTCTCCTGTTACCTGGCAGTCGCCTTGCTTGTACGTCACGTCATGCTCCGAGGACCAAGCATGGTTCGTTGTCCATGCTTAAAGAGGAAAAGAAGACGGGTGGGGAAACGGGAGTAAATACATTCAAAGTTTTGTATTTGATTTTTGTGACAAGTGGCAGAGATGCAAGTTGGGGTGGACTTGGTGAGCCCCATGTGCTCCTCTTCATCACAATGTCTTAGGAACAGAATATTTACTGTATATTGATGTGATTCTTGTGTAAGACATTGGAGATAAAAAAAAATAAAAAATAACTGACTACACCGGGAAGACCAGCTGAGAGGCATGAATCGAGGCGGAGTGGAGTCATAGTGAAACCACTGCAACCCAAAGAAAGTGCAATACATTCATACCTCATGTGATGTAAATTAACACAGATCAAATGCCCCGATTATACCCTCAGAAATATGCTCTCTCTTTCCAATGTCTTTAAGTTTGGGTTGTGTGCATTGATCAATCAGGGGAAATCATCAAGCGATGAAAACATAGCAAACGTAGTTGTGATGTCATGAAGCCAAAAAATTCTCTGCCAGTGAATACATAATTCAGTTTGACAGTTAATTTTTATTTTGTTTTTTTTACATGTGTTAAATTAGTTTTCACCAGGAACTTGCAAACATTAGTTCCATTTCTTATTTATTTAGTGTTGTTTAAGTGTTATGTCTCCTCTCTGCATCCTGTATTAAGCACCCTTAAGTGCTTAAGTAAGTCTTACAAAATGTTCATTATACATGTTTCTTTTTGTATAATTTTCATTTACATTTGCGTAAAATGATTTTGTTGTAAGGAGTTTTGTGTACAATACAGCACTATTTACTATTTATAATAAACTGTATGAAAATGAAGAAAGTTGTGACTTTGAGTGAGTGTCATTATGGGATAACAGGGTTGTAGCTGCCATTGAGAAAATTGAGGTCTTGCCCTCATTGTTTTTCTGGTGTTTTTTGTTTTCGCAACCCAGGAGGAATTTACAGTCTATTATTTAAAACTGCTACATAGAAAATATTTTATAAGCTAATTGTAGCATTTTTAGACTCTGTTTAAATTACATGGATTTTAGGCAACAAATAAGTAAAGCCTTCTTCTTGGCAGTGTGGAGAAGGTTTTTAAACAACATTTAGGAAATGTGAATTAAATTTATAGTATAATTTATATATTTTAATTATTATAATTTATATTTTTTATAGTATAATTGTTCAGGAAACCAAATTAATAAAAAAAAATGAAAGTGATTTAAAAAAATTGAGGCCTTTTCTGGTCAAACATAGTTTTGAGAGTAATGAGTAGTGCCTTGGGGGACTAAAGGCATCAAGTCAGTATTTGTTAAATCTTGTCTACGGAGCTGGGATTTACTTTTTTAACTAGAATTTATCTTTCTTTCTTTCTTTCTTTCTTGCCAGCTGTTGATGAGGAAGATAGTGACACTACCTACTCTCTGCAAGTTGCATCCCTTGTGCACCCTCCTGTAGCATTAAATCATAAATATATCCCCTTTCATAAACACTCCTTTTGGACAAATTCCTGCTCCCTAGGGCCTCCTTCACACCCCTTAATGACTAAGGCAGAGCTGCTATAAATTATATGAGCACAGCGGCCCACAGTCATACCAGGACATCAGTCACTGACATGGCTGTACAGGGTTCAGAAGTGTTTTGGCTATCGCTGCCAAACACAGACAAAAACAGTGTTCACCCAGTTGGCAGACTCCTCAAAAGGTTACAGATATCACCGCCGCACTTTTATCACCTTGTCTTTTTTTCTCCCTTTCTTTTCTCTCCTGGAGGTTTAGGGATCATGTATGCAGCTGTCCGTGTCATTCACGGTATAAAGTAAGTGTGCATGCATGAGAAAACACTGAATGTTTGTTTTTCTAATATGGTTTAAACATTTCCGTGTGCATGTATTTGTGTGTTAGCATGTCTGTTTGCGAGTTGATGCTCGGTGCGACGCAGAAAACAGATCATATCAAGGCAAGATCACATTACTCTTTTTCTTTACTCCACAAACTTTTTTTTTTTACAAGTGCTCAAGTTGTAAGACACAATGAGTGAAAAAGCCAAAGGGGTTGCTTTGGAGCGGAGTGTCAGTCATGCAGCAACACACTGGAGACAACTTAACCTCTGACCCCAACACTCTTTGAAATGAGTAGACTACTTGACCGGAGCTGACAACAATCCAAGCGTCTCTGCAGCTTCCAAGACCCCAAATTGAAAGTGAAGGAAGGAGCACAAAGAGAGGACGGGCTGAAAAAAAAAAAAAAGGTTTCAGATATAGGAAAATAGGAAAAATAGTTAAAAGGGAGCTTTAGAAATAAGGTTGAGCCAGAATATGCTTAGAGAATTGTAATCTTAGAGTGTATGACTGATTCATTTTGGATCAAAATGAAAAAAACATTCCGTACAAATCATTCTGAGGTCACAGTTGTGCTTTTATGATACTTTGGCTGCATCCAATAGGGCAGAAAAGGACTGGGCTTTATCTTTGAAATACCACCTTATCAAGTCTCTTGAAGAGTGGGTGGATGACTCACAGCGTGCCTTTCCTAAAGTGGTGAGCGCCTGCCTCTTACACTTTCCATCTGAAGTCCCTTCTCAGTCGCCCTGGTCCCTTGTCTGTCTAATATTTTTGGTTTATTTTGTTTCTATCAAGATCCTCTACTCAGTCCGACTTCCACCTTTAATTTAAGTATGAAGCACGTGAACCGGACCCTCCTGCTCCCCCTTCTCTCCAGATGCCAGCAGATTCTGGAGGACACTGGTATCGACAACAGTGGACAGCAATTCAACGTGACTGTCTCCAGCAGCACAGAGAGCCCTCTGTCCGGCATCAGACCAGCGTCCAACATCTCCAAGTCCAGGGAGACTTACGACAATGCTTACTTTTACATCCTGTTTGTCATGGTCTTCTACTCCTTCCTTGCCATGACACTTTTCAAGTGCTTAGGCAGCAACGAAGAGAAAAAGGACCCCTACGAGGAGTTCATGAGCACTGGGCAGCCGTCAACACAAAAATTCAACACAGGCCACATGGTGGAGAAGTTTTACTTTGAAGAAGAGAGCAGCCTGTGAGCCACAGGCTTTCTGAGGAGAAGGAGGGAGGGCATGCATGCATGGGGGGGATGTTTTGACAGTCACCAAGCCAGGAAAACGTCAGTGCGGACTACTCAGGCAAGACCTGCTAGTGATTTTGCAAAACCTGTAGTAAGTTCATTTTTCCCCTTTTTCCCCCTTCCATCTGACAATCAGAAATCTCACGCAAACCAGGCAGGCCGGCAGCCGGCGGGAGGAGACGGCTTCCTCTGATGATCTGAGAGAAGGGTGGAAACATGGAGAAGTGTGGGTCAATGGCAGGCCGGAATCTCCTCCTGTGAGGCCCAATCAGGATCAATAACACCGGGGCCTTCGACATGCACACACCACAGGGAACCAGGGATACCTCAGCAGACTGATGGTGTGGACAACATGGACACTGTGTGTGTGTGTGTGTGTGTGTGTGTGTGTGAGAGAGAGAGAGAATATTGACCTGCCATTGGATTTTCCATTCTCTGAATTCAATTTAAATCCACTGAACATGCTGAACAAATTAGATAAGGGTTATTATTTTACTTCATTTAAGGTACAAACATTTAAAACATTTATATTAGACTTTGCATTTTAAGGATATTAATATATACCTTTCTAAACTGTTTATTTAAATCTGGTATATAGTGTGATTCTAAGCTGTGTCATTTTACTCTATAAGATGTACAATAATTCGCCCCTTTATTGCAGCACCAACTTTAAACTGCAGCCATATGCCTTCAAAATGTAAATGCACGCAAACAATGTTTCTGAATAAAATAAAACGACATCCCACTCTCAAATTGGTTCTAATTAGGGCCAAAAGCTCCGTGCAATAGCCGGGACTGAGCGACATTCCTTTGCCATTACATTGTAACTGATCTTTGGAGACTGGACGCGCGGCTACAGGGCCGCTTCAACCTCTCGCTGACCCCACATGATCTAAGTTTACAAAGCTGTGGCGAAACGTGAACCCGAAACTCACTCTGCAGAATTAACTTCAATTGTGGGATCGCGGAGAGGAGCTTAAAGAAAACACACGCTTCTCATTTGCACCACACGTCGCCAGTGGTATAACTTTGCGCTGAAGAGGAGGGCCCTTCAGGTTAGGAGACCGAACAGGTACAATATGACCGCGCACGCACCAGTGGAGAAAAGGAAAGAATAAAGAAGTTCATTTACACTTTCTTTTTTTTGGTTTTGCTTTAAAGGGCTTCTGTGCAGTTAAATCTCCGGGGTCAGAGGTGGGTCTGAACTGACAATGCCGGTCTAATTTGAACTATCCGCTCCTAGAGGTTATGCCGGTCCCCGAGGCCATGTGGACCTGTTTCCTCTTCTTCCCTCATAATTAAATTTTTTGCCTCATCCTCCTCCCTTGAAGTGCTGGGGTCACCACGCGTGGATCCTACCTGACCAAACAACACCGCCCAAATATTTAACTCTGACCAGATAATGCTGACTGAATAAATGTGTGAGTCATTTTGTTACCTAAGGCTTGAAATGTGGATGGAAATATAATCGCTATTTACATTTTATTATATGTATTTCATTAGCTATATTGTATACGGAATTCGGGGAGAAAAATGTTATGAGAGGCTGTTGCATCATGATCCCTGTGCAAAATACACACATTATTTTCGATGCAATGTTATTTTATTAATTTATGCATGCAATGTATTTGTAACTTAGTTAATAAAACTAAAGGATTGCATTGCGACTTAATCAGTATTTTGTGCAAAAGGCTTGTAACCCTCATCAGCAGCATCAATTGCTGCAGCAGGGGCGGATCTAGAAAAATATTCATGGGATGGCAAGTGTAATGCATGCTTATTTAATCGTAAACTATCACATATAGCAATATTTGTTTGGAGAAGTCCCCAAATGAAGATACTTGTACTAAAACATTAGATTATTGTGGCATATCAGTAAAACATTTAATAGAAATATCTAAAGGTGCTATTTGAAATCAATAAATTGTTTTATTTCCAAATCTTTTTTCTAAAAGAATATACGTTAATATGTCTTTTTAGTCTGGAATGTAGCAACAAAAGATCATTAAATTAATTTCTGTTTTCAACACATTCTTACTAAAATGAATCTAAATTCATGTGTTGACAACATTTGAAACCAAACTGGGGTGGCCAGGCATATTATAGCCACCATGCCATCCCTCTGCCCCTGCCCATGGTGGAATCTCCTCAGGAGCAGATGCCTCCTATATGCATCAATCAACAGTGAAAACTTCCCTCAGTACTCACATTGCATTTTCACACGCATTGGGTGCAGTGGGTCCGGTCACACAAATAATCCACTGGATGAAATTACGCAATTTCTCAGGTGTGTTTGATGTGTCTCATCTTCAGGGTGCAGCCTTCACAGCTCTGCTGGAGACAAACTGAGAGAACAGAGAAACCCTACACACTGAATACTCAAGGAAAGGTTGTATGATGGATGGTCTCTTATGATACTGTAACTTCAAAGGCCAGTTTGCAAATGTATATGTACTAATACTAAATATAATCCCCACTGAAACATCTGAAGAGAGAAAGGCACCAAAGGAAATGTATGTTACCTTGCAAACTATTAACCACATAGTGTGTTTAAGACAAATGTCTATTCCACTGACTGTACCTGCATCTGTGCTGATGGTTATCCTGGAGTCTGGTCAGAATCTGTGGATATGTTGCCATCTGCTGGTGAAGATGTGACATTACTAATATTCAAATATGCACTTGTTTTCTGTCTGTTTCAAAAGCCTGAGGTGTTACCGAACAAGCAGAGGTGAGGATTATTGTTGAGTCAAACCCTGAGAACAACAATACAACGAGATTTGGAACAAATATTCAACAGTAAGAATATTTCAGCAAATGTGTGTCAGTGTAGGATATCTGCATATAAAATGACTTTTATTACTTATCTGCAGTTGTGTGCATCTGTGTGCTAGGTGCAGTAGCAAACTGTTGTTGCTGTGGGTTTGCTGCCATCTAGTGGTGTATTTCTGTTGTCTTTGGCAGTGCAGTAGGTAGCATATACTTCCTTCAACTGACTTACACTAAATGCCTGGTCTGGTTGAATTGATTCTTCTGGTTGGTAAAAAGCTTACTAGTGTTGGCCTGATGTAGTGGGTGGGGTCACATTATGTCGAGACCACCATCGGGACAATCATTTATAATAACATACTGTGTGTGGCTGGGGTTTCAATACACTAAAACCACCAACAAGACCATTGATAAGACCCCTGAGGATTATAGTAGAGGAGAATGTTATGGACGCCACAATGAAATTGTTGGACCTGCAAAAGAAGGCAATGATGTAGCTTATCTTTTTCTTGATCTGAATTAGAAATGAGTCATTCTGAGTGCCAATGTAATATCTTAATTTTTAAAGTAGCACTGATAAATGACCTCCCACTTACATGAAATATAGCATCAACAAAAACGACAGACAAATGCAGATTACTGGCTACCATTATTGTTCATGACCTACAGTATGGACCTAGACAAAGAACAAATAGTCTGTGTTTGTATGTAGCTATTTGTTTTATTTTATACATAACTGTTGATTTTTGTGATATTTTGGTATACAGTTTCATATCACAAACATTGTAAGTTGAAGCTGTATATCAGTTACCAACATTCTTCATTTAGTTATATTTATCTCTAAAACTAAGATGGCATGCCGTGACAATTCATTCTGAACACTTTATTCAAATGTTTTACTCCACATTGTAGAGAGGCAGCAAATTCTTCAGAAGAAGGAAGTACAGTGCAAAAGAATTCATTGCTGACTAGCAAGAATGGCAACATTACTGTACTCCTGACAAGAATGATCCCATTGTTTGCCAAAGTATACAAACTATGTTGCTCTTAGAGATCTTTGCTTTTCCCTTGCTATAATGATTTTACAGCAAGGGAAATGGGATAATGAGCTACCCCGACAGGCTATATAAGTAAAGAAAGTTGCTGTAGCTACCTCTGAGAATCCATAACTGGACTGAAAACCACAAATGTAACCACATTGCAGAGCGTTACAATAACTCTAATCTCTAAAGTACACACAATGAATGACCAAATTTCAGCTATTTGAATTTGAACAACCATTTGTTGCACATTACACTTTTTTCCACCAACATAATCAGACAGTGATAAATTATATTTCTGTTTCATGCTTTCACCACTCTGTACAGGATATTTACAGCACATGGTATAAGACATTTAGGCACTGGGAACACAAACCTCTCTATATAATGTAATATATGAAACCATACAATCTGCAAAGACACCAAATTACTGTATATACTATATACTGTACTCTACTACTACTATACTATAGTTTATCAAAATGGCATGGATAACCAAACTACCAACAACCAAGTAAAATCAATACCAAAGCCAATAATCAAGAAAAAAAAAATCTAATAAAATGGCCACTGTTAAATTAGATCTAATTAGAGCCAAAGCTTATTGCAGTAGCAAAAGTTTCTCTTAGGAACCAAGGCAAGCCAGGACTCACTATCCAAAACAGCAATTATTGCTATTTTAATAAAGGAAGACAATAATAAATGTCTTTAACAGATTACAGTCTTATTCCATCTCCCAGTTTTCATTGACCGGAAATGACTGAAACACCGTCCCCTGCGTTGTAGTAAATTGTAAATTGTAAATGTCACTCAATTAGTTTGGCCAAAACAAATTAAAATGCACCACAGTCGAGGCCACCGTGGAGTTTACCTACAGAATGATGGAGTTGAATAATATTGAAAAGTAAACTAGAACTCTTAGAGACAAACGAGTGGACTGCAGCAAACTAGTCGCCCTCTGGCCTCACGACGAGGAGAACACAGTTAGTGCCATTGAACTGTTCAATCTAACAGGGAGGGCTGTCCTTGTTTTGCTAATGATTTTCCCAGTTAACGTTAGCCGACGATAGCAGCGATGGAGAGCAGAGAAAATGAGGAGTTCTGACAACAAACTAAATCACCATCACAGCAACAAGTGCAGTGGGACATTTCTGAATTTGACATGGATACTGACACCTTCACGTCCAGGAAAAGAGGAGAGGATGAGCTTGGACATCCAACCCATCCTCTTTCTTTCTTTCCCTGATGGTTTCTGTGCGTGTCTCCTTATGATTGTGTTATGGGATGCCTTATATTACCATTGTTTGGACTCTGTTGCTGTTGTGTTGTTGCTGCTCTCCAGAGCTTTTCATAATTTGGCCAATTTTGCTTTTTTTTTGTTACTCAAAAATGATTTGTGAAGAAGCCTGGGCACAGGTTCTGCTGTAGTTGCTTGAAATACTTTATTTATCCTAGTTTTAAGCTGTGCTGTAAAATGAATCCTACTTTTTAGGAAGGACATGAAATAGTAGGGTAAACCCTATAAGGCTCTATATTGGCAAGAATCTGACGATACGATATGTATCATGATGCTGGGGTTACCATTCAATATATTGCATTATATTGCCATACTGTAAGGAAGGTCATATAGGCCCTCACTAAAACACTGCTATTTGGGGTTGGGGGCTTAAACACAAAAATAAATACAGTCTTTTTGAGAATCGATACAATACCGTTAAACAAAATGTTGCAAAATGACAGTTCTCGATATTTCCCTTTACCCCTACCAGAGAATGTCTAATAAGGGGAGAACTTCCACTCTAGGTAAACTTCCAGCTTCTGAACTGTTGCAGTTCCACTCTGGTTCCATATGAGGGCGCTCACAGGATGAGTGCAGAATGAATGGAGGTCTATGGAGCTATACCCCTCAAAATCTACTTTTCTCAGGATATAATTTTTTGTCTAGTAATTTGAATGTTGCATTCAAAAGGGGGTGCAAAGAAATTACACATTGCTGGGTGTTAGATTTTTTAGAGTCACTTATTTTTAAAAAAAAGTCTTTTAAAATGTCAATGAAGTCATACACATCGTACGGCCAGAGATACTGCTTTACGGCAAGCCTTGAGTCACTTTGTGCTTCCGCGCTCGGCACTTCCTTTTCTCTCGAGGCATCGACAACACAGCTGACACAGGTTAGGCTCTCCCTGTCAATACACGTGCTAGAAAGAGTTTTTGTTTTGCTGTTTTAAACACCACGCTGAAATATCTATGTCCCGCTTCGGATTCCACGATGCCATCAAGCGGGATCTCTGGTCGTAATCAGTCCTTCACTGACCAATCATTGTTCATTAGCAGAATGCTAGCGTGTTATGGGCAACAACAACTCAACCTGTAAGAAATCGAAAGGACATAAGTACTAGTTCATTCAACTTTCGACCTATAACCCATGTTGAACAGCAGTTGTTGTGATAGCAGCACCCTGACTAATGGAACAAAATTAGTATCATTGGTTGCACCTATTTCAAGTACAAATGGCTGCTGTGAAAAATGTCTATACCTTTGGCCTTGTTTACTATTTCTATGTCCCATAATGTTTTAGTATTCAGTTCTGATATGTACCTGGATCAGACGTGAAGCTTTATGGTGCAGCATATATTGTTAGGAAATGTGTACATTTATTAAAATAGCAATAATAGCTATTTTGGTTAGTGAGGAAGTCTTGGCTTGACTTGGTCACTCAGAGAAAATGCCACTGCATTTTGTGTTTCCCCGGAAATTATAGCAACAAGAGGGGGTAAATGTGATGCCATTGACGGGACCAAATAAAACACAGTTACCTTGATTAAAATTAATTCATCTGGGTTTGAACATTGTTATTAGGGGACACTAGGGCTGCTCCCTATTAGTTGACTTAATTGTTAGTTGCTCAGAAGAGTCTTCGTCGACCCACTTTTCATTTGTCGGATAGTCGCAGGAAACCAAAAAAACAACGTCAAACTCTGCCCGGGAGCTGTGCCATGTCACCGGGATGAAAGTACCTTTTCTCTTGTAACGCAGGGAGTTGCTTGCCGGTGTGCTGTATCATTTGCTAACTGTACTAGCTGCTGCCACTAGCTAGTTAGCAGTCCTGTTAGCTCACTATACCTGGACTGGGAGTTCGAAAGGACAGGGGGAGGATACTGCTAAGACAGGAACCCAGTGGGGAATACTGCTAAGGAGCAGTGCCCAAATGAGCAACAGAACTGGAGCAGAGGCCAGCTGATTTACAGCAGCTCCCACTAGGACTGTTCTGGGGATGAAGACACAGCAGGTTCAAGCAGGGACAGGAGAGGCATAAAACGAAGGAAGAGGAGCGAGTTTGTTAAATGTTAATTAGTAAGAAACTGTTAATGTTATGCATCATCCATTGTATCAATATCAGGGGGCAGCCCTAAAGTACACTACTACGTATGTAATATAAGTAATATATAGGTCAAGTCATTTTTTGACATGCAGAAATGTGACATATTATACCTTTTAAATTGCATATTTCAACTTTTGACCACTCCTTGCTCCTTTTAAGTGTAGGAATTACCACTTATCCTCCTTTAGCCAAACAGCATTTCCTTGATCTGTTTTCAGCTACTCAGCCTCCCTTAACAGTTAACTCTCAATTAATAGTTCAATTTATGTCATTTTATAGCCTAAGGCTTTTAGTAAGCACTCATCTTTAACAGCTGATTGAGTTTAAACAGACTATTCAGTTTTTTCTGAATATTGTGCAGGATAGCTGTAGCCCCACTGATGGATGCACACATTGGCTGAAACTGGCTCTTTCTCAGGTAGGTTTGATGAGCCTGAAAGTTGAAGTGCAGCCCTCACAGTTCATCTGGAGAAGGATCTGGGATACAAACTGTTGGAGAGAAGACACTTGCTGATTAGATGTAAGTGACAGAGGTGTGTTTAATACTGTTTTTTGTAATACTGTTACCGCACAGTACGCATTTTAAGGTGGTTTGTACTTACATTAGATATAGCCTCTACCATCCCATCCTTATTTTCCTGATTATTGGATAAAACAGAAACTTTGAGGTGAAATGTAACTATTTGGGCATCTGAAAAAATGTAAATAGAAATTATTATAATTAGAAACTTATTTCACTATAATAAGGTACAAATCATATACTTCAAGTAATGATTGACCAATGCATGACTCATGTTTTAATACATGAATGAATGCAGGGTGTATATTGAATTCTTATTGCTCACCATTAATAAATGCTTCATTCACTATGTGTGATTAGTTCAAATTTAAGAGATTATCATTTAAGGCATGTTTTAATCCTATTATATATTTGACAAAAGATTGCCAATGCATTTTCAAATGCAAATTTCTGAAATGGCTTCAGCAAATACAATCATAATGACCAACCTGAAGCTGTGGATGCTGAACTTGCAAGGCCATCTAATGGTGTAGATGTGGTACTGCCGCTTTTTTGGCTGGTTGCTGTGGTAGCAAACGCTATGGACACTGAGGTTGTGCTTACATCTAATAGTGCTGTAGTGCTGCTGGTTGTACTGGGTGGTGTTGTTGAAGAAACTATGGATGGCGAAGATGGGCTCATGTCTGTCGACGTTGATGCACTGCTGTTTTTTGTTCTGGATGCTGTAATAAAAGAGACTGGCAATGCAGAAGTTGTGCTGGTATCTGAGGGCGTAGAGGCAGTACTGCTGTTTGTTGTGCTGGTCGTTGTGCTGTTATCTGCTAGCGTAGAAGCAGTACTGCTATTTGTTGCGCTGGGTGCTGTCGTAACAGAGTCTGCTAAAGTTGCGTTGTTATCAGCTACTGTAGATGTACTGCTGCTTGTTTGGCTGGTTGATATAGTAGCAGATGCTGTGGAGGCTGAGCTTGTGCTCACATTCAATACTGCAGATGAGACCGTGGATGATGAAGTTGTGACGTTATTTGCCAGTGTAGATGTAATTCTGCTGCTTGCTGTGCTTGGCTGGCTCGGCAGTGCAGTGGTGGAAGCTGTTATACACAAAGAAAGATTTGCAAAATAAATCTTAAACCCCATCTCAGTTTCATAAATAAGCAATAACTATGTACTAGGACTGCCCCTAACTAGTTGTCAGATATTTAAGATATTAATGTAATTATTTAAATATATATATTTTAACAGGCGCCTGTTAAATATTAAAGGAAAAAGTGCAACCAGCAAGGAGACTGAACAGAAAAACATAATTTTTTTGTGTCCCCCCACACTTACATTGTTTGCAGGTTGACTTGAAGTCAGTACAGCAGTCGTTAACTGTCATGCAATAATCGTCACAGTAACAGCCCATTTTGTTACAGCTGGAGTCCTTACCAGAGCAACACAGTACCGGTGGACCTGCACAACCTGGAGCACACACACAGCTGTATACAAGATCAACACTATACCGATTTATAACAGTGACTTCAGTGTGTTATTTCAAGATTGCACTGGTGACATAAAATTATCCAACAAACAACACTAATCAAGCAGATGACTAATTGCACAGCTTGTGCTATAGATAGATACATAAATAGACTTTATTAATCCCCAAAGGGAAATTGGTTAGTCATAACAGCCAGGTACATTTAAATACAATAAAAATACAACAGAATAAAATACTGAGGTAGAAAAGACAAAAAAGATAAATAGGTAGATGAGGTGCAAAGAAGTTGTAGTTGCACGATGGTGGTAGTAGTACTGATGATATGATGGTAATGTTATTGTTAATAATAACACTATACAATATATACATACAATAAATAATATATTATGAATATAAATATGTAAATAGAAATGTGGAAAAAGATTAGAACATTGTATAAATAAATATGATATTGTATCTATAGCAAGTAATGTAGTTGTAATGGTAATAGTTGTAGCAGCTAAGAGTCTCTATATTGAGGGGTTTGTGAGCATTTTTGTGGCTGCTTGGCAGAGCTGTTAGTGTCCAGGGATAGGTTGGCAAGGGTCACTCTAAAACAGAATGAAGGTGGTGAAAATGTTTGAAACATCTTGGTTGGATGCAGCTGAGAAACATGAAAGGAGTGTTAGAGTAGACATCGGATGAGGGAGTATACAGTATAGAGTATGAGGTGGTGTTGTGGATATTACCTGTATTTGTAGCTGTTGTTTGAGCTAGAAAATGAAGAGGAACAATGACGTGTCATTTCATTGGAATTCCATAAAAACAACATTTAAGTTGAGCCCTGGCTCGAGATTAAAGAGAAGGAGACTGGCTTGGATGTCATTGTGAAATGTCTGCCGCAGCAACAGTGGACAGTCAGAGTGTCAATTTCCCGAGGCCTGTACTATGAAGCAAGTTCAAAACGCATATATTATCTGGCTTCATTAATCCTAACCGCAACCACGCAAAGCAGTCACACAACAAATGGTTATCAACTCAGTATCAATCCAGCTATGAGTGTGTTCACATAAAAGGTCGGTGTTTGCAACATATGGACAAGTTGCACCAGAGAAGCCTATTTTTTTTTTTACAAATGAAGAGTATTAGAGAAAAGTTAAATACATAATTCAGGCTAAAAGCAACACAAAAGATCGCTGACTGTGTGAATCCATACATTAGGGCATGGGTATATTTAACAATAATTACATTTGTGTATTCTGTTAAATTAATATGTTGCTTAGATTTTTTCTCAGTGGTCGACTTACTTTCAAAAACTTCTTATCACTTCAAATATTTTCCAAACATTGTTGTAAATTAACATCATAAAAGAAACATTCCTTCACACTCGCATTACCTGCACCCAAATAGCAAAAGGTGGGACATGGCCAGTCTCTATAATATAAGAAACAAAAAGGAACCTAAAATTATAATAAAAGAAATTCATATTAAACTTAATTTGAATACCTGACCTGTTGATAATTCCTGAACTCCTGCACTCATTTACAGCTGCACAATGGACTAAAATGCACATGTGAAGGAGGCATGTTGTAGCACAGCTAACAGACGGAAATGTAACTGAAGACTGTGGACTGCAATAACTGTTTTTGTTATTTCAGAACTACACTGAAATTGCTGTTATAACCCTTGTCAAGTTTCCTCGCTAATCCCAAATCGTACAGTACAGGTTTGACAGGAGATCACAATCAACTGGTCAAAATTGTCAAGGAATGACTTCTTTGTCTTGACAGCATTGCATTAAAGCAATTTTAATGTCAGATTTAGAGATGCACAGAAAGAAATTGATTCACTTTAGTTTGACTTTTTTTTTTTACATTTTCTCCACATTTATTCAGTCTTTAATTTGTCACCTGTTTCTCTATGTAACAGTTTTGTTAATAACTTAACATCCTCAAGGCTTTACCTACACTTTATATGCTTACATAATTAAGCCTTTTTCTTCTTCATTTGGATAATTACTGAATTAGTCATTTGTTATTCTTAATGCCGCATGTATTTTTATCAATTATCTCTCACCAACATGTAATATGATAACAGGTAGATGCTGTTTATGTTCTACTTAAATTGCTCCAACTGGCTGAGGCATGTAGTATTTGAATTATCATTTGACTTATCAATTAACTTTTTACAATCAAGTCAAAGAATAAAAAAAATAAAGCTTGCTAGTTAAGTAACTGTTTACCAACCTTGTTGTATCTTCTGTCCTAAATTCTTTATCACTTAAACAGATTTTTGTGCTTGTGCTATCACTTTACTTAATATAAACTGTTCAATATTAAATACGATAATGTTTCACTCACCTATATAGAGAGGTAGCAACCCGAACAGGAGAAAGAAGTACAATGCAAACCAATCCATGACTCTGTGTGGCTACTCAGTGTAACCACAGCTTATTTATACACGCGCGTGAACATCGCAGACATTTACCAACACCCACGCTCACAGGTACCCTCCTATTGTCTGCCAGAAAAAACAAAGAATATCATGTTGCAGATGTGATGTAATAGTTTTTCTTTTCCTTTCGACAGAGAGATAATGGGTTACACATTCAGACTTGGATGGACTTAGACGTAGATATGTCAAGAATGCTATTGTCATTACACGGAAATTACTAGACCAATGGCAACACAAATTTAACCACAGTGCATATTTTCATATTTGCATAAAAGTTTCAAAAGAAAACCTACCAATGCACAGGCATTCAAATACACATTATGACCAAGTGCAAGCAACATTTTGAATAATCATTTATTGCACATTCAATTTATTTCCAACAGTATCAGACAGTGATAAATAATTCATTTGAAGTCATTCAGAATGCATATAATAATAATGCAAGTGCAGTAGTAGGCAGCAAAGTCTTTTTACTGTGATATACTTATATATACTTATACTCATAACAGCAAGAATTTGTTATTTAACTGTATTTATTGGCCTGAAAAGCTGGAGGTGGAAAACAAACAAAATATACCAAGTAACTATTGGGATCGGGTGTGTTGTCGAAGGAAGAAACAAAATCTGCATTAATTCTGTCTGTTCTTATTTTACAAGGTGACAGTTATTATCAGTGTGGAGTTTTCTTGTAAACTACCAAAGTAATGTTTCTACTAGTGGTCAAAACCTCTACAGGGAATTTTTGAGTGCCATGTCTCATCCTTACAGCCATCTGATATTCATACTCTCCAGCTCTCTCCAAACTCCTGAACACTCCTGGCCCTGGTTCCATCAGGCTTTATCCAGTCATTCCGGCTATGACCGTCAAAGTTCCCACACAGACCCCCCACCTTTCTCTGATAAATACGTGGTAGAATGATCTCTGCAGGAACAAAATCAACAATACAATGTCAATTTATTAATTGTATAACTATTTAGAAAATAACAAATTAATTGACATGGGATGGGATGGAATGATACATTAAGATTTCAAGGATTTGTTATAAATCCTATAAGTTCCAGGAATACTGCTTACTCTGTTAAAATTATTTAATGAAGGGAAGATCAGTTACCTGCTGTGCTGTGTCCATCAAACTCCACTGAGAGTCCAAAGTCCGTCTTCAGGTAGATGCGAGAAGAACGCTCCCGGATGGTTAGACCAGCAGTAGGTGAGACAGGAGTATTAGTTATCCTTCCATCCACCTGGATGGAGTTAAAGAGGGGGATGTGTCAGTGCAGTTCATCATGTTCAATATAACATGCCTGTAATCCAGTAATTGTGTCATTTGGCACATTTTTAGTAATTTTTAGCATGGCTCTAGGATTGGCAATGGTAAGTCTTGAGTATCAGTGGTCTTTGGATATTAAATAAAATATACTGTGTGCAGCCCTTTTAAAATTTAAAAATAAAAGCTCAGACTGCTTTTTAAATTGCTAATCACTAGGGTTGGAAGATTTAACAAAGCTATTGGAGATGGTCTTTTTTGGGGGCGATTTTTGTCATCTTATTTTGCTAATTTATTGGTCTGCCTCCAAAGAATGAGAGCCGCTCGGTGACAGATGTTCAACGACATGGTACACAAACTGAGCCAAAGAACAAGTGAGGGGAAAATCAGCTGTATAGCCAGTGTATTTTCACATCTAACTGTGGTGAATTAAGGGCTTACTTCGACTACTTTGATGTTTATTGGACCGACGGTGGCCGGTTGGAAAATTTAACATATCATCCAACCCCAATACTCACATAATATCTGACTCCTGAATAAATATAACATTAATACTGCAGCTTTTTAACATGCTCACTCTCGCTCTCTTTTTTCTCTATCATACACGCACAAATATGTGTAAAGTGCCAGCAGGGAAATAACATATGACAGAGCATAATTTAGCACATAGCGCATAATCTGCCTCACTGCTGTCGTAACACCTCAAAGAGAAAATATGAAGAAACACTGCTTATGTCGCTCAGAGCTTTCACAAATGTGAAAATATTGTGTGAAAATGAGATGATTGTTGTAAAAAGGCCGTTGATACTCACAACCAGCCTTCGTTTCTTCTTGAACTCCACAGTGTGATTGTACACTCTGATCTTAAGCTCTTGCAATCTGTGGTGTTCCTCGTGCTCTTCACTGTGGTCAGGACGACGAAGTTCAACATCATAATCTTCATCATAATCTTCATCTTCATCCCTAACTCTGTGACTGTGGTCTTCTTCACTGCTACTGTCACCATGCTCATGACTGTCATCGTCATCGGTGCGTGTATTGATGCCCTCAATGTAGACATCTGGAAGGATACTTGGCAAGTTCTTGGTCCGGACCAGAACATATGAGTGCTCACCCTCAAAGTCATGCTTCATTTTGTCAAAGGTTCTGTACTCGGGGTCTCTCTTGATAGTGCACTCATCGAAGCCTGTGGAGCAACAAGTGTAAAGCAATTTTTAAATTAGTAAATAGGCTGTACCATGGTGTAGATACATCACAAAGTTAAATATTGGCATTTACAGCACCTGCAGACTGGCAGTCATAATTGCCATCCTCATTTTGAAGGCAGACAGCATTTCCATCGCATTCATCTTTGTCATCGCAGTCAATCTTCCCCACGCCATCGTCTTTCTCACATTCACATTTCTGACTGCAGTGATTGGTGTACCACTCTTCATTGAACTAACAGGAAAGAGCGAGTCATCATACTGCTTGGACTTCAGTGTCCATGTGCACCATTTTTGGCAATAATGTGCACGCTTTCAGAAAGTTGTATGTATGTATGTATGTATGTATGTATGTATGTATGTATGTATGTATGTATGTATTTGAAAATCAACGCATGTCTCTTGCCATTGATGAGGAGTCACTGACCTGATGTTTGTTGCCATTCCTGTCCACACATCCACACTGTTGGATAGGCACACAAACCCTCCCTTTCTGCACAAAGCCTTCATCACATACACATCCCTGCATACAATCCTCCTTGTCACTGCAATGTGGTGGGCCATTCAGGTATGTGCAAGTGGGACTGCAGGCAGGGATACAAGTGGTGTAATGACTGTTCTTTGGGCAGGAGGGTGCTAGAGAGATGGACAGAAAGGTAGAGACAGAGTATAGTAATGAGCTTTAAAATAACAACAAAAATGGTCTATATAAGTTTTGATAATAGCAAACCCAATTCATTTTAATTATTATAATTTTCTTCTAAATAAGAAAATGCAAGCTCATAACTTACTTGGTACAGGTGTAGTTGATGTTTGTGGTCCAGCTGTTGTTGTGGGTCTAGGTTTAACCGTGGTTGAAGGATGCGGTCTATTTGTTGTTTGTGATTCTGGTTGAGATGTGGTTGGTGGTTGTGGTTGAGCTGTGGTTGTAGGTTGTGGTCTAGCAGTTGTTGGTGGTTGTGGCTGAGCTGTGGTTGTAGGTTGTGGAGTAGCTGTTGTTGGAGGTTGTGGTTGAGCTGTGGTTGTAGGTTGTGGTCTAGCAGTTGTTGGTGGTTGTGGCTGAGCTGTGGTTGTAGGTTGTGGAGTAGCTGTTGTTGGAGGTTGTGGTGAAGCTGTTGTTGGAGGTTGTGGTATAGCTGTGGTTGTAGGCTGGGGTCTACCTGTTGTCGGATGTGGTTTTATGGTTGTTGTAGGTTGTGGAGCAGCTGTTGATGGAGGTTGTGGTGTAGCTGTGGTTGTAGGCTGAGGTCTACCTGTTGTCGGATGTGGTTTAATGGTTGTTGTAGGTTGTGGAGTAGCTGTTGATGGAGGTTGTGGTGTAGCTGTGGTTGTAGGCTGAGGTCTACCTGTTGTCACATGTGGTTTAATGGTTGTTGTAGGTTGTGGAGTAGCTGTTGATGGAGGTTGTGGTGTAGCTGTGGTTGTAGGCTGAGGTCTACCTGTTGTCAGATGTGGTTTAATGGTTGTTGTAGGTTGTGGAGTAGCTGTTGATGGAGGTTGTGGTATAGCTGTGGTTGTAGGCTGAGGTCTACCTGTTGTTGGATGTGGTTTAATGGTTGTTGTAGGTTGTGGAGTAGCTGTTGATGGAGGTTGTGGTGTAGCTGTGGTTGTAGGCTGAGGTCTACCTGTTGTCGGATGTGGTTTAATGGTTGTTGTAGGTTGTGGAGTAGCTGTTGATGGAGGCTGTGGTGTAGCTGTGGTTGTAGTCTGAGGCCTACCTGTTGTCGGATGTGGTTTAATGGTTGTTGTAGGTTGTGGCCTATTTGTTGTTTGTGACTCTGGTTGAGAAGTGGTTGGTGGTTGTGGTTTAACTGTTGTTTGTGGAAGAGTTTCAGTTGGAAGTTGTGGTCTAGTTGTTGTTGGTGGTCGTGGTGTGGCTGTTGTTATTGGTCTGGTTGTTATTGGTAGCTGTGGTGTGGTCTTTGTGGTTACAGTAGCTGCTGTTGTTGTGGTAGTCATTGCAATGGTAGTTGTTGATGGTGGCTGTGGTTTTGATGTTGATGTTTGTGGCTGTGTAGCAGTTGAGCTGTTTGCTGGAGGAAGCTCCGGGACTTCTGTTGCAGCTGGATTGAAGGTTGTGGTAGATGGGCTGGTTGGTTTAGCCAGGTCTGTAACAACATTTTGCAATAAAGTTACATCAGTTTTCAGTTAAAATGTCTATGAACTAAATTGAATGTCAGTAAGAAGGCAGAATTACCTGCACAGTGCCCACGATGCAGCAATACATCATCTATGGCCACATCAGACTGATCGTTGGAGCCTCTTCGACCCTCAAATATGATCTGAAATTAAGTGCACAGGTTAATACAAAAGCACAGAACCAGTTATAGCACCGAGATTCATTAGGTCATGTTACGCTTTTTTGTTTTTGCAGGTAGTACACTATTAGTGTTTTGCTCTGACATTTCAGGTTAGGAGAAGAAACATATGATGTTGGTAACCTCACCTGGAAAGCTCCAGTTGTTGTCAAGTCTACCTGAGCCATTTGCCACATATTTCCTTGGTCATTTCTTTTCCACCAAACAGCGTCAGTTAATCTATTTTGGACCGAGTAGACATGGAGGCCCATTGTATCCGCTGAACCGTACATATGGTACCAGAACTGCAGACACTGAGGACCAGAGTAAAAACACTCCGAGCTGATGAGACGAGCTGTGTCTCCATGCGACACACTGTTGGCCTCGATATAAAGATAGTGGCCATCTGGTTAAGGACATGAGAATTAAGTAAGTTAAAGTTATGCACAAGTTTTCTTAGATAATGTAATGATTTCTTTTTTAATTATACATTTGAGACATGTAAGCCAGAACTGGATGCTAAATGTTCAGACTGCAAATGGCTTTTAAACAATGGCATAACAATAAACAGCAGCTCTACTGGCACATACCCTGGAGGTTAAAGGAAAAATGTCTTATCTTTATGAAATACAGTACACAAGGAACTCTTGGCCACACAGTATGTAGTCTACCATTCTGGTTTGACAAGGAAGAACTGCTTCAACAAAGAGGTTTTGACTAGTTATAGGTGTGTCTGTGTCTCTATTTTTTCCATGGCAATTCTAGAGCAGTGTTACTTAGATTGTGTCAGAAGGCTAATTACCTCCTGTGGTGTGATCCGAAGAAGGCCCAGTCATCATAGTAGGAGTGGAGCCACTGTTTCTTGTCCAATCAAAAACATCCGTAAGAATGTTACTCCACTGACATAGATCTTGTTCAAAATTACAGTTGAGTTGGCATACTGGAAACAAAATTCAGACATATCACTGACGTACTGTGAATATAAGAAATTATGGAAATCGACACTAGAGCTACTATGGAATTAACAATGCACCTGGGTGTGGAGGTGGTCTATTATCTGAAGCTTCAGTTACATTGTCATTATATAAGTTGGTTGTTGCCTCCACTACGGGAGGTATGGTGACATTTGCTACAGGTGGCTGAGCTGTAACATTGACCAGAGGAGGCTCTGGAGCTGCAGTGGTTGGCACAGGTACACTTGGAGGAGCTGTGGTGTTTCCATCAAGTTCAGGAGGACTTGTTGTCACAACACCACCCAGATCTGCAACAGTGAAAGAATTGTTGATAGCAGTGTTAGTAATTGCAAATATTTAAAACATTTTACAATCGTATGCAAAAGTTGGGCAAAGGTTTTAGAATGGCTCTCTTGTCCCCTGACTTAAACACAACTGAAAATCTCTGGGTACATCTTTAAAAGACCTCTGTTTAATTAAAGACTTGGCTATACAAAGCGTTTGCAAGCTGTCCGAGTGGGTATTACCAAATACTTACAATGTAGGATTCCCAAACTTTAGCACATGCCACAATCATGTTTCTATTTTTGTCCAATTTATGATATAAATGTAACTATGCATTAATGTTTGCGGAAAATATTGTTTGTGTGTTGTGTTTTATGTTATTTGTTTTATGTTGTTGTGTTTACATACAGGTATAAAAATCACTAAATATGTTGGGTGCCTGAACTTTTCCATACAACTGTAGTGGTTTTTATTCTGTGTGGATGTTTCTTACCAGAGCATTGACCACGATAAAGCTTTACATCATCAACGGCCACGTCAGACACCTCGCTGGAGCCTCTACGCCCCTCAATGATAATCTGAGTTAGGAAAAAAATTGATTTGGTACTGTTCGTAGGACGTCTGTTGTAGTTAATATTCTATCATTACGACAACAGTGCCTGGTGGAAGGTGTCTGACCTGGAAAGCTCCAGTTGTTGTGAAGTCCACCTGAGCCAGTTGCCACATATTTCCTTGGTCATTTCTTTTCCACCAAACAGCGTTGGTTAATCTGTTTTGGACCAAGTAGACATGGAGGCCCATTGTATCTGCTGAACCGTACATATGGTACCAGAACTGCAGACACTGAGGACCAGAATCAGAACACTTAGAACTGATGAGACGAGCCGTGTCTCCGTGTGTCACGCTGCTGGCTTCGATGTAAAGATAGTGACCACCTAGAAAAGAGGCATGAAATTATCAAAATTGTCTCATACTTTATACTTTACATGGTAACATCACTTTTCCCATTATTTCTGTGCATTATCACCATTTACAATATAACATAGCAAAAGAGTGTATTACCACCAGTGTGGTCAGCAGAGGGCCCAGTCAGCAGGGTGGGGGTGGAACCACTTTGCCATGTCCAGTCAAAAGCATCTGTGATCATCTGATTCCAGCTACAGAGGTTGCTGTCAAAGCTACAGTTGATGTTGCAGACTATAAGGGTAACATTTGCAAAAAATTAACATGTATTGAGGCCCTTATGCAACTTCCTAAAAAGTCAGTCAATCTGTAACTTCAATTACCACTAAGAATGGCACATCCAGTATTTACTGGACTAGACACAAATGTTAATTTGTAACCACACTTCTGCTTTCTAAAGCAGAAACAAGTGGCCCATTAAATACAGCTTCCTATGCACTTACCTGGGTGTGAGGGAAGGATTTCCGCAGATGTGGAAGGGAGTTCAGTTCCACTAACCAGGCCAGGAAAACTACCTAAAGGAAGTAATTATTGACTGTTTAAACCCTGTGATATCTGGTCTTAATTTATTTGCACCATTAGAAATGTTATAATTTATTATATCCTTAATCCAATATAAGGTTTGTTCCCCTTTTTGATAGAGGTGAATGTCACCTGAGCATGAGCCAAAATGCACGGAAATGTCATCCATGGCCACATCTGATTCAGCATTAGAGCCTCGAATTCCCTCCACTATAATCTGAAAAAGGTAGTAGGAAAATATGTTTCACTGTATAGAATAAGATCATTTGTCTTTGCAAGAAAAGTGTTCAATCAGCATGCTTTAGGCCCATATATTGTGTGTATATCGTGTCAGACTTACTTGGAATGGACCAGACACTCTGATGTCAACATTTACTGGATGCCATTCTGGTCCCTGGTTGTTCATCATGGACCAGAGCTTGGTAGCTTTATTGTCTTTGAGCAGGTAGATATTGAGGGCCATGGCTGAAGCTGAACCATACATATGGTACCAAAAGTGCAGGCAGAGTGGGCCATCATAATGGCACATTGAGCTCAGCAGACGGGCTGAATCTCCATGGGTTACACTATTTCCCTCAATATAAATGTAGAAACCAGCTAGAGAAATGTTGAAAATAGCACAATAAACATGAATAATGGAAATCCAGTTTAGCAACACAACAGACGTGATGGTGTGGAGTGATAACCGGTTTTACCTCCAGTGGTGTGGTCTTGGTTTGGGCCAGTTAGGATTGATGGGGTGGGTCCTGAATTTCTTGTCCAGTCAAAACTGTCCTGTATGAGCTGTTCCCACCCACACAGATTTTTTTCGAAGTCGCAATTCATGGGACAGACTATGAAAAGGCATATAAACACAATGGAAATGATGATGAAGCATTATGAGCTAATTATCTGTACAAACCTTACAGTATGAAAAATATAATTTTATTTTAAAATTGTCCACAAAAAATGATTATATTCATCCAATCTGTAGATAATTACCAAGCTTATTCAAAGTTATTCAAATACATTTGTATACAAACATCTGTATATGTATAGATTGTTGAGCAAAGCATAGTCAAATGTAATATTTGGTTTTGAAATAATTAAAAATTATGCCACTGATTATCCCAACCAGTAACAAATAAAACTTCTGAACCCTGAATGCTCTTACAAGTCTGATCTTGTGTTGGAGATGTAGGAGTTGGAGTTGTTGGAGGAGTTGCGGTGGTTGAGGGGTCAGCTGAAATGGGGACAAAAAACAAAACAAAAACCAAACAAACAAACAAAAAAAAAATAAAAAAAAGAAAGAAATGAGTGACCACTTCAGCCTTTTTGGCGCCCTGTGAGATATTTTACGCTAGGCCACCGCCTCCACATCTAAACCACCTAATTACTCCAACTTGTATCAGTGACAAAAAGTTGCCTTATATGATGGGCCGATCCTGTGCCGTAATGAAAAGAATAAAAAGCAGGAGCAGAGAGTTTTGAAGATATCATTGGTAAAGAGAATCAATAAGTACGAAATACAGGACATGTAACAGAATGACTTTATCCAATCTTCCGTACTAATAAATCAACAAATTTTATTTTGTAAAAAGAATTCCTTAAATTTAGTAATTTCATTACCACAGTAACCACAAATGACTCAAACACTCACCACAGGCTGTGCCTGTCTGCCAGTTGGTCAGCTCTACCCCTGCCACTTGGCATGCTGCTGCATAGGACTTCAGAGATTCACATAGAGTGTGTTGGTCACCACTTGTGGCACAGTAGTCATAAACACAACTATTGATGTAGATGCTTGGGTGAATGGTTTCATGGCAGGGCTTAAAGGCATCCCCTAGCAGCATGTAGCATTCATTGTAGGCCTCATTCTCCTCATCATAATCACAGTGCCTGGGATCATTTGGATGGGAAATACACCTGGAGGAGAAAGTTTACACAATTAAATAAAGATTTAGACATTTGGATTTATCGTGACACTTTAAAATAAGACAAAATAAGCTAATGGTTGATAATGTATTAATACTTAATAATTATTTAACAACTTGTTCTAATGCATTAATAAAAATACATTTTGGGTTGCCAGGTTGTGAACTTGGTGTATATCTTTTGCCAATCAAGTGAGCCAGGCTGTGAGGATGATAATGGATTACTACTTATGGATAATAACTATTTGTAGCACGGACCGCTACCTCTACAGAGAAGATATTTCAAGGATTTCTGCACTTGGGCAGAGTGCTGGTTGAATATTATATATTCATTATGCTATATTAATTGTGAGCATATTTGCATACTGATTATAATTGTGAGCAGGTATGTTTTCCATTGTGTTTAACCTAGGGTTGACCCCTAATAATCGAGAAAACTGTAGGTTAACTAACAGCTAACTGTACAAGTTGCTGCCAGCCTGCCACCAGCTTGTGGTTCTATTAGATGACTGTATCGGGCGAGATTTGTTTACACCACTAGCGTAGGAGCTTTGCGCTGCCGGGGAATGGGCCCAGAATGAGCACAATAGCCAGAGTGTGGCGAGAGGGCAATGGTGCTGGGCTGAGCAGTAATGTCATACATAAAAAAAAAAAAAAAAGTGTTGAGAACTTGTTTTTGTGAAGTTGGAAGTTTTTTGTGTCATCAGTCAGCTTTTGTGAAAGTCGACTAAAAAGCAATAATCTATCGATAACATATTTTTTCTGGCCAATAATGATTGACGGCTGTTCGAACTGGGAATCCCCATTGTTATGGTATAAACTGTCATACCAATAATTTAATTTGTGCTTATATGTATGCAGATGCAGTTTATGATAAAATAACTTACTCATTATTGCCTTGCACCCTCCAGCTGTCACCAAACTCAAACGGCTCAGTAGCGTTTTTGCCTCCTGGTGTTATGAAGTCATCGTCCTGTTGTTCGGAGTAGGTGCCACACAGTCCACACAGTTCATACTTGTAGCGCTCATCCACCTGAAGGAAGAGCCTGTTCTGCCCATCTATCATCATTCTGAGGCCAAAGGTCGTCTCCAAGATAATATAATTATTCTTCATATACACCCATACTGAGCCGTATGTACCATTGGTTGAATACGGAAGTTGGACATGGACATTATCCACCTAAAGAGAGAGAGACAATCCATTATTTGTAATTAGTTTATTCTTGTGAGAACTGAATATATTGTAAATGTCTTACATAAAGTAGCACTAATGGGTTTTTTTCTGCTGGGATAGTTTGTGCAACTAATTAGCTACCAACTAGCTGTTCAGGGCAAAGTCAGCTATTAGTTTCTGTATTCTTGTAAGCCCAAGATGACAAACAACTGACTTCCTCAAATGACCTGACACAGAGTAATAACTGACAACTATAAACATGGGTTTGTTGATACTAAAATCATTAGCCACTGTCATTAATGAATTACAGCAGATAATACAGAACAATGGCACTCCAAATCCAGTAAACAGGCCACTTGCAGGTCACAAGACACAATTGCTTTCCAGTGTCACACAGATTTTTACAACAGCCATTGTTACATTCTTATGCTATGAAAGAGTTGCATTTGGGACTGTTTGATATTTTAGAGAGTTACAAGGAATTTCCATGCTTACGTAGACATTTCCGCTCTGATTCAGGGTGAGGTTTAGATCCTCAACATGAAGAGTCAAAGCTTCCAGCTTGGACCGGGTGAAGTTCTGAAGGGGAGGATGGATGTTGTGTCCGATCACAGTAAACTGGACTGAGCTTTCTTCTCCGCATGTGGTAGTCAGCGTGTAACTGCACCCCCCTTGAAAATCATAAGCCATTCCATCGAAGGTGATATAGTGTGGATCACCATACACACTGCAGGTGGCGGGATAGAAAGGGAAGCAGCCTTTGACCCCATCCTTGACTTTACAAACCTCATTGTCTGTGCATTGCATTGTGGTGCACTGCATGTCATTATTACCCATGCACTGGCACTGCTGCACACACTCTCCTTCTAACAGTGTTGCTCCTTTCTGCAGGCAAAAGGGAGTTGTGTGAATTAATTCTGGCACTGTGGAAGTGAATAGGTGAATATGAAATTGTTCTCTGTTCATCTACCCTACTTACCTCATAGTGTTTTCCATTATACCAGCACCCACAGTCCTCTGCTGGGACACACTTTTTCCCACTGAGTTTGAAGCCAGAGTCACACACACATCTTTCTTCGCAGCTTCCACAGGAGCCAGTTGTATCCAGGCTGGAGCACACTTCGGGACAGCCTTCAGCACAAGAGTTATAGTGGCTGTTCTCACCACACTGAAGCGCTGAAAGGGGAACAAAGAGGGGAGAGCATGACCTTAACTTTTATTCAATTATTATAGTTAATGGTTGCCCTATTTGCTTATTTTAATAGCAGAAGGTAGAGAAATTAATGCAGGAAGCAATAAAGCAACATACGGCAAAATGTAGAATTCCTCCACATGGGTATGGCAACTCCAGCCTCCTGGCAGATATCAGCATAGAAATGTAATTTCTTACATAGCACCACTGGGTCACCATGAGTAGAGCACATGTCGACCACACAGCCCCTGAAGTAGCTTTCTGCCTCCAAGACTGACTGGCAGTCAGTGAAGGGCCCAGTACTAGAGAGGAGGCCTCCACAGTACAGCTCACTGGCATACTCTGCCTCATCCAGTGGGTCGCACTGATGAGGTACTTGAATGGTTTCACAGGAGGAAGGGGTTCGCCCTGACTGCCAGCTCTCAGCCAAAGCTGTAGCGTTGTAAGCAACTTCACCATCAGGCTTTCTGAAATCATCTCCTTTTAGGTAGTTAAAGTTTCCACACAAGCCACAGACATTATCAGAGTAAGTAGGTGGCAAGTTGATATGGACAGCACCAGCGTTGTCATATGAGACAGAAAGACCAAAGCTGGTTACCAGTACAACAGCAACGGGGTTGCTCTTGATGATAACAGTGCCACTGCTGAGGTTCAGTGGAAGCTTTCTCCAGACCCCATTAACCTGAAGAAAAGTAAACACTTTGCATTAAAAGTTTGCATGAAAAGCAGCATTCTGAAGACAGAGATATCTTTGAGAACTGATAAGGCCAATAAGTCCTCTTTGGATTCCAGGATGTTATGCCACTAAATAACAATAAACTCAGTTATCAGTAGGATGGGCTGTAGATATGGGAACTGCTTGAACTAGTACATTACACAACTCATCACTGCATAATGGCAAGGTGTCACAAAACTGAAGTTTTACAGACAGTACTTAAGTAAGGACTTATCATGAAAAAATTTTTCATTTCAGTCAGTATCAATAATTATTAATAAACTGACCCGTTTTTAGTGAAGATCAGGTAGAAAAAAAGGTTAATTTTAATTACAGGTAATACTTTTAATGCTAATGTTATGTTATATGTTAATTTTGCTTAGTACCTCTCCATCGTACACTGCTTGTGAATTGTTTCTTTAAATGTAAGAGATGAAGGCCGTGACCGAGGACATGTTGTGTACTCCAAAGGGCAGAAGCCGCTTTGGTGATTCACTCATAGCATGCTCCATTATCAAGAGATATGATATTGGCTATTTATAAGCCAGGGCGTATTCATTATGCTTTCATTGCATTTAATGCATTTAAGTAAAACTATTGATATTCTACAAAACAATTTTCTTATTGCTATCCCTGATACATATGCTATTGTTGCATTGCCCAACCTTATAAAAGTCATTAGCATTAGCACTATGTATGCCTCCCTAAAATTGCCTCCACACTTTGAAGTAACTCACCACAACGCGCTGTGTCTGCCTTTTCAGCAGGGACACTCTGAAGTCCCCCGCCCCCACAATGACCTGTTGAACAGTTGGCAGAGAAGAGTTCTTGTTCTGCTCGTTGACCACTTCAACACTGAACATAGGCAGGGCGTCAGTGGGTGAGCAGGTCTTAGCCAGTGTGTAGGTGCAGGGAGCCATGAAGCGGAACAGCACTCCATCAAAAGTGCTGCAGTCTGTGTGACTGTGTATAGTACACGTCCCAAAGGCAGAAATCCCATTGGAGCCTCGTCTTTGAGGACCACAGATTTGGCCCTTAGGGCACTGAGAAGGAGAGCAGGAGAGCTGGCCAGCAGAACAGAGACAGCGGGTGGACTCATCTGTCCATAACTCTGTGTTAGATTCACACTGGTGTCCTGTGGGGGATGTGACCGAGCAAACAATCACTTTATATTCAGAACACCATCTGGCTAGGAATTACTGAATAGTAACATTAATGAATTCCTGTGTAGACTATTCTCAGTTATCTTAGTTATCTGACCTATTATTCATGCAAGTGATTTTTTTCTCAATTGTCATCAATCAAATAATAAAAAGAAAAAAACATTCTTACTGCCTTACTGAAATTGTGAACTTATGAAACATGATAAATGAAGATTTAAGCTTTAGAAGAGTTTTGTGACATAGGATCTCTGAGAAGTGTTGACAATGACAATAATTGATTGATTGATTTTTCATTTTTTGATTTGATGAGATGAAGTGAAATAATATTTACCACATGAGCCTCTTCTTACACCTATCTGGTTAAATGAGACCTGTCCCTCCATGGACACTGCTTCGAATACAACCTGACATAAAAGCAGATTTTCTATTTATATATATACAATACTATATTTTAATTCCCCAGGACAGTTTATTTACAAATGGTTATATGCCATCTTACCTGAGCTCCTGGTTCAATGACGTTCAAGGGGACAAACACTTGTCTCCAAGAATCCTTGGGGAGGGGAGGTGACGTCCAGAGTTCCACCAGACCTGTGCTGCTTTTTAGCAGAGCGCGGAGTTCTGACCCTTTAGCTGCATCCGGGGCTAGGTACCAAAACTCCAGACAAGCCTCCCCCACCAGACCCAGTGGACCACTCTCTAAGATATTCACTGCAACATCCTCTGGAGGTGAAAAAAGGCAAATAAGACAATAGATGCTTTTGTCCATATAACAGAAAGTGAATAAGCTATCTTTTTAAATGGCACCAACGTAAAACGTTGTTTCTCAAGTACACATTTCATGATTAAATCACACAATATAAATGGTTTTAAGGGGCTTTATTGGCTTTAATGGACAGTGAGAGCTGTAGAGTACAGGAAAGGGAAGAGACAGAGAGGAGATGCCACGCAGCAAAGGGCCAAAGGTAAGAGTCGAACCAAGGACTAGCCTTGGTGCATGGGGCGCCAGCTCTAGCAGGTGAGCCATCAGGGCAGCCCAGTAAAATATATTTTTAACAATGCAGGTGAGGAATTAAGTTTTATGTTGTATCATAAATCATATCAGAAATAGCAAACCATTCCCTTGTCTTTGTTATTGCAATAAAACACAAAATACATTTGTTTTGTTGCAATTAACATTAAATGCAAAGTGGCTGTTAATAGCGTTTTGTGCTAAATTTGAACATTAATTGCAGGCCCCTTTACTTTGATTGCCCCTGGGAGAACACCAGGCTATAGAAGATTATTAGCCTGCTTCAGATCAATTACTGATATGCAGCGAGCCACGGACACAGTCACAGGCTGCCTGTAGATTAAAACAGAACTGTGGACCGATGTTCCAAACCCCTTCCAGGTGGGTGGCACACAATTAAAGGTTACCTCATTCAAGTTATCTCTTAAGCGTCAAAGTGAACTCATAACTGAACTGAACTGAACTGTAACCTGGATTGATGCCTTTAAAAAAACATATTTGGCATTTCATTTCTTTATTACATTTAATAAATCAAATTGCCAGACTATTGTGCAGTAAATGTTACCTGCTGTACCTGTTCTTCGTTGGTTCCTTGTCCAGTCACAAATCAGATTGTTACACTGTGTAACATATTCTATAAAAGAAAAAGAAGGGGTCAAATATAGGGGTAATATGTACAGTGTTTGTATCTCTGTCTACCTATGTCTGTTTATTGAAATCTTTATTCTTGTGACACATTTGTATTCAAGCAATTCTAACAATTATGAAGTATCTACAGGTCTTAGTAATTATGATTTCGTACCTGCATTTGTTCTCCAGTCTGGTAAAGTAACTAATGAAAAGTCATTTTCAGCCCTGAAATAGGAAAGCAATGATAATGGATTAATTAAAAATACCATAAATAAAATATCTGACTTACTTAAAAACTTTAGTTCCCAGCAAAATGAATATGACCAGTATAGCACTATTTCATATGACATATCAGCTAAAATACAGCTAAAAGACAGTTAAAAGTTGATTTATCTTGAGACCCACCTGCACTGAGTCCTTGTCTGAGTTAGAAAGAGTAGAGTCGCTGTCACCAACAATTCTGTGTGGATGCCTCCAAGCATGGCTGATCCCTTAACGGCAGCCTCTCAGCTGCTCTCCCGTTGCTAATACTCTCTCTTTGATGAGTTGAAGAATGAATGATGAGCACAGACTGTGGTGGAGCTTCTCTGTGGAAATGCAGCTTGTATGAGCCTGTGACTGCCAGTACAGAGGTGTGGGCCCTCTTGTGTCATTCTCAGAACAGAGCAGCAGGTTTTAGGCATTTATAGCCCACCGCCTATTCAGGTAACCGCAGCAGTGGGTGGAGAAACCAGACTGCAGGACAGGAAGACATGAAAGGGGTTGGACTGGGTCTGTAGCATAAAAAATATTCTAAAAGTGACGACAGCAGCTAACACAGTTACAGTAAATATTGATAGGCAAGGTCAGGGTTGAGTGTTGCTAGGGCATAAAAAGCACTGAGACCAAGGTGAATGAAGATACAAATTCTTGAAAAAAAGTAAAGCATGACTAGAATTTTTGACACGATAAGATAAGATAAAATAAGATGTTCCTTTATTGATCCCCCGTAGGAAATTCAAGTGTGGCACAGGGGAAGTGTAGTCCAAACAGCAAATATAAAAAAAGAAATAAAAATATAATGGGGGGGAAAAAATTATATATAATATATGATAGAAATGTAGAATATTAAAAATATATATACACTATATACAATACAGATGGATAACTGAAATGGATAATTGTACATGTGCAATGTTACAGGGTATTGTGTCAAACAAAAGGAAAAAATGTTAATGGTTAACAGTTGAATCAGCGGAAGTGGGAGGTACTGAGCCTCCGAAGTGCTTTGAGGCATGGTGGCTGAAAGTGCTCCTGAGCTGCCTCAGCTCAGCGTAGAGAGGATGAGAGGGATTGTCCGTGATATCTTTTAGCTTCCCTATCATCCTCTTCTGTTACTGCCTCCACACTGTCCAAGTCCATCCCCACCACCGAGCTGGCCAATATAATGTCTTCTGTTGACTTAACTATGATGTAAAACTTTCTACCGGCCAGAAATGACCTATGAGAGATTTTGAATGGTTATAGGATGCTGTGGGTTTCATGGTTTTGAAGCCCATGGTATGGGGAATATTGACTCGACTAGTAGTTGTTATATAAACTACTTGTTACACATTTATGATAATTAATTTTAATTAGCTCCCAGTCCAGGTACAGACAGCTAGTAGTACCGCTGACTACCTAGTGGCAGCAGCTTGTACAGTTAGCATATGCAACAGTGACTTCCTGTGTCAATACCGTGATACCTTGGTCCCGGTGACAAGGCGCAGCTCCCAGTTTAATGTGACTATCTAACTAGTGACAATTACGTTGACAAGACTTTTGTCATCTACTAACGATTTGACTATTAGAGAGCAGCTCTAGAAAAGTGAAATGGTAAATGTAAGTTCTGCAATCTACAAATGGTAGAAAAAAAGGTAGAAAGACAGAAAAGAAACACAGGGATTTGTTTTGCTGTTAATCATTGTTGCATACACATACATATTTATAAGCTGTCGACAAATTTTCCAATAAAAACAGTTAGATATTTGCAACCCACCACCTGTTCTTACAGTGTGTTCTTACAGACTATTGTGGTGTTGATTTCTGTAGTTAGGGTTAGGTTACGGTAAAGGTCCAGCTTGTAATACTTAGGAAGACGTATTGGCATAAATGGAATATAATATTCCCAGGTATGTTTTCATTAGTGTATAATCCACTGAAAATAAAAATAGCTGTTATACGCTTTGAGGGAAGAGCAGGAGACATTTGGATGCAATCTACAAGCATTTAACTCACTCAACTAACATGTTTATCTAAAAACATTACTGAAGTACATATTCATACAAAGGTATTTGATAGTGTGTTGTGCTCAGACAGTCAAAGATGATGATCCTCATCAGATATTATAAATGCAGTAAAAGGGCAACAAGATAATTATCTTTGCAATCAGAACTAATCCTCTAATTCCATCACACTTAACAAAGATAAACCAAAAAGATGAGCCATTAAGAGTGTCAACTTATGCAACCCATACTCTTGAAAAGACAGAATGAGGCCTGTGTACATTGTGACCTGATAATGTTGTTGTAAAAACTGGCTTCAAGAAGTGTCTGCCAGAATATATTTAGTGTATATCAGCTAGATAGCAGTTCACACTGTAAGAACAGGTGGAAAAAGAGTGATAAGAAAAGAGGAGCTGTCTGATCCACCTACTGTGACATTCCTGTAGCCCCGTCGGTATGTGTCAATAGAGAGGGTGGCCCAAAACAAATATTAGAGCTCTTTAAAACTGTCCAACCTAAAAGAAGGTCTTTGTTAAGGAATACTTACAAAATACTAGTATATATCTCTACAGTATAAAAACTGTTAGTATAAAAAGTTTCAATGCTTGTTAACAAAGAGAGGACAATACAATAACAATCTTAAAATAATCTACAGATATCTAAAAAGACACCTTCTTAACAGATAATTAAAGTCTTATCTCAGTGTGTCTCAGTGTGTCCAAGGTGTGTGATGAATTCCACAGGAAGTGTGTTACTTATGAACTGACCCACACAGGTCTGTACAGAGCAGGGACCGATACTTTGGGAGGCTGTAACATGTATGACGTATGGCTCCGCATTGTCTAGTCAAAAACCTGTGTCTTCAAGGCAGTGACACACACAGCTATGCAAATAAATATGTTTAATGTCATTCAGTTAATGTTTTGTCACACTTACTTATTGCCTTTTACTTTACGCATATTTGGCACAATGGCAGTCACCCACATCGGCAGATGAAGTATAATGATTATTAAAGGCTTCTGTTTTTGGCGGTAATGGACATGATAATTACTGGAAGGGAGTTGTCTGTCTGTTGATAAGGTCTGTCCTGGGGTTAAGTGTGTTCAAGTCATTTTATCAACATATATCCCCACCTATCATACATAAACAATCATGATGGATATTATTGGTAACAAGACAGTTACCAGTGTAGTAACCTTTTCTGCCCCACCCAGATGGGAATATGATGATATATTGCAAGGTAACTTTATCGATATAACCTTGTAAGTATGTTAGAAATGTAAATATGATATAATCAATCAGAAATGCTCAATTACATACCTATGAATCCATAAACCCGTATCTGCCCTCATACCCAGCAAATAAAGGAGTCATTAATAATCAACCTCGCCCACAGCAAGCGGGAGAAAGAGCAACAAGGGTCAAAGACAAAGCAATATACTGTGGGCTTTTCCAAGCATCATTGTGGACTTAAGATGCCCTGATCCATGACTAACCGTTAATAAGCCTGTATTTGCTTTTTGCATCTCCCCTTTGCTAGCTCCACTGTGTCGGAAGTAAAAATAGAACACCTTAGTAAGCAGAGGAATGTTATTTTGGAAAAATGGAGCAACTTTTTACAAATCTCAAGGAGAAAGCGTGACCTACAGAGACAGAATGTACGGAATGTTAACAAGAGCAAGTGTACCATTAAATATTGCAGAATACAAAAATTAATTAAGCAATCCTCAAGTTTCAGATTTTGATGAGCGGATAAACATGCATGAGCAATCTGTAATATCTAACAGGTGATCTTCGAGTTGCACTTTTGAGATCATTTTGAACAGTTTGATTTTGGAGACAACTAAACTGTGTAAGTGGGTGGGAGGTAAAGGGTCATTATGCTTCAACAGACGTGCTTGTCCGATGATGAAACAGATTTGGAAGCACCTTCCTCCCGCACCGTTCCGATGTTGGGTTGCATTGGACAATATCAGAAACTTTCTGAAACTACAAAGTGACATTCTTGGCAAGGTGTCTGGCAAATTTTTCATTCTCAACTCAGCTGTCACTTTTGATTCGTACAAATTAGTGCAAAACTATAAATTCATTCCAGGATTGAAAACCTACCTTTATCCCCATTCAGAGCAATAAACACTTTGGCCTTTTGACTCGGCTGGACCACATGTACATGACACAGTTCACGAGCTGGACCCTTACCCATGGCCTTAAGAAAAAAAAAAAAAGAAGCTATATTTGTATATCTGCTTATCCCTTCCAAAACTTTTGTCCCTTAATCTTAGAAAACTGTCCTCCACCCACACATCCTAGTTCAAGCACCCTTTTGCCAGAGTTCAGTTTCTATCAAGCTTGCACCCAAAGGTCACCCCTGCTGAGAAAAGAAAATCAATCCACAATCCAGCCTTTCATCTACGAATAGGTCAGTCAATGGCATATGAAAATCTTCTCCGCCTTCTTTCCAGTTTGTTTGTGTCTTCACTGTCTGCAATCGCTGGAGATGTCCTCAGCTGTATCAGCGGGTCGAGGTCACGGCTGATGGATAACACTGGGCTAGACAGGGCAAGCACTGAGCTCTCTCTCATGTCAGAGCTTTAGCACTTATGCTTTCATTGAGCTCTCATTCATACACTCGCTCCCTACCCTTACATGTGGGAAATGAGGACAGCTGGGATTGCTGCTCCTTCTTTTTGCTGTCAGAAGCAAAAAATTGTCAAATGATTCAATGTAGGGTCAAGGTCATCCAGGATGGAGCGGGCCAGACAACGGACTCCCACATTTTAACTGAAATCTTTGAGCTTTTTCTGTTGATGCTCTATATCTGCATTCTGAGGAATACACTGTAAAAAAGCACTTTTTGTAGCCTTGAAGTTCGTGTGAGGATGTTCTGGCATTTCTAAACTCTGCATGTGATTTCTTTTCTACTCCTTGAAAGTTTATAGAACATAATGTGTGGCCTTCAAAATACGCTTGTGAACTTGGTTGATAATTATAGTAGTAAATTACATCGGTACATGAATGTTGAGGACATACGTAACTGCTTAAGTGGGTCTATAACATTGCATTTTAAATCCCCAGAGTATTTATGGGCACATTTTTACAGGAGCTGCCATTTATAGTCTGTCTGCTGGAAAATGACCTATTTTCAATGAGGTTTTTAGAATAAAGACTTAGCACTGAAGGGTGAAAGAAAGCAGCGAAAGGCCCTTCTGAGGAATGTAAAGTAGGTAAGGTATAGGTTAAAGCAATCTTTTCATTCTTTCGAAATAAAACAAGTCCATCAAAACAAATTAGGCCTCAATGTGCGGCATCTGTTTAATATTCATCAAATCATCTGACTTGCCAATGCATTTCTTAATTTCACAGGGACAAGTCAAACTTGTTAACATTTCTCCCTCAAACCTCAAAAGTGTACAAGTGTTTACAAAGCAA